CTGGAAAACAGGCACTTAGAGGGTCTGGGGTCCTTGCACCATTTTGGATCCACACCTGCAAAGCACTTTAAACTTCCACTGTTTATTGTATGAATGGAGTCTCATTGCTGCACCCTGCATTGCAGATCCTGCCTTGAGGAAGGGATTGGTCTGCATGGCTTCGTCTCTCTCAGAGAACTCTACTGGGTTTATTCTCTTTTAGGTGAGGCAGCTGTGAGCGCATATGCACTGTTGCCTGCAACCAGATTCATTTCTCGGAAACAGCTCCTTGTCTCTCAAAAGTCATGATATGAAAACTCGGGGCCCCACACGCTGGAATCAAACAGAAACAATCAGTTTGATGACAACAGCCGCCTCTGAATCGGAGGACGTTTGACAGTGCTCCCCCCTTGAGCCATAACTTTGTCAACTTTCATGTGACGTTCAACATATTTAAACCATAAACACATGACACATCTCGAAAAAATCATTGTCGGCACGACAGATTATTTCCACTCATGTAATTGACAACAAGAATAAATAAAGCCGAGTTTGAAATGACACTTTGCGAGTCATTATCCTTTTTGTCTCCAAGGAATGAATCTATGGAATGCTTTTGCAAGAAGGGGCTCCATAAGCTATGAAACTCCCTGTGAAAACTGCTAACGGCTGGTGGGCAAGTCATACAGTTTCAGACACTGACGGATGATGGGTTTCTTTATTAGGGATGTCATAATTTAGGGTGTCATTTTAAATATTGTGGTAATAATTTGCTACAGCTGAGGTGTTCAAAGAAACCCTCCATGCAAGAAGCCAATGTGTGGACGTGGTAATGGGACCAGCCCAGGCAACAACGCCCCTGTTCCTCCCAGCCCCCCAGCCTCAACCCACATGTCTGTGCATTTAGCACAACTTCTGAAAGTGCTTCTTACACGATACTGGGAATTGCACAGGTTTAGGTTTTCCTCCTCCTGGGCCACCCTGCACAACTGGGATTCCCAGCTGGATGGAGAGTCGTAAACATGTAGGCATCCTTGCACCAAACACACGGATATCAGAGGTGGGGTGGACAACTGGCCGTGGGCAAAGTCAACAGATGTGGTTCTGCTTTCCATTGCAAACATGGAGGAAGGGTGTTTGAAGAGGGCTATAATATTAAAGTGGCAAGTGCCTCGACAGCAAGGGTAACCAATATGGTGCCATCCATATGTTGTTGAACTATAGCTTCCATCACCCTAATTATTAACCATGCTGTTTGATGGGTGTTCCCATCCGATGACATCTGGAGGGACTTATATCGGCTACCCTTGCTCTAAAAGGGCTTTTTTGTACATGCATATGTTCAACTTGAAAGGCACAAGTCAGTGTGAACTTTGCGATATCTGCTGGATTGCAGCTCACTAGGGTTACATTACCCCTAGAAATTTATTTCTTTTCCCTTTTTTAAGTTACCAGGCTTTAGCTAAGCAAAATATAAATAGACTGGCCTTCAATGAAACATTTCTTTGCATTTTTTAAAATTCTATTTTTTGTATACTCTGCCAATAGAAGTGAGTGTCCCCACCGGGGGGGGGGAGCTTAATAAGAGAATGGAGTGTGAGCTTGTATTCATCAGACACTTAATATTATATGAAGGTTTTCTTATACGTTCTTTGGAATGCTTCGGACACTCATCACTTACCGTCGTCCAATTAGTCTGACATGCTGTCACATCCATGTTTATTGTTTTGAAGGAACCTTATCTTGCTATATTTAGTGAAGCTGTAGATGAAGGGCTAGCATCTGCGGTTCTGCCTATGGCCAGCATCCTAATGCTTGTGTCTGAATAGTTCGCGGTCAGTGTCACTTTCTGGACTCATTCCTGGGCACAGATATGAACGGCTCCTGTGTCTTCTGCTGCCTCATAGTGTTGTCACAGCCATGCCTGTATGGAACTCTTAAGAAATTCCCTTGATGCAAGATTAAGCTAGAAGCATTTCTTTCTACATGGAAATATTACAAAGTTGGTAAACGTGCACTTCAGCAATGAGCTGTCAGTGCGTCTCAATGGTGCTATCAGAGCAGGAGTTTGGGGGTGAAGCCCAGGGCCGCAGAATGAGCAAGATGACCCCCAAACGCAACAGGTCTGGCTCATTGCATTTGGAAATTAGTGAAGCAACCCACAGCACCATTTTGTTTTATCTTGTGCATGCTAAAAGCCAGTCCAACTCTTAGTAATGGCCTGCGTTATGAGAGTCTGCTCTCCTTAACTTAAAAACGTTGCCTCTTTTACTGGTTTCTTATCTTTGCTAGCATCACCATCAGCCTGAACAGTTTTACAGGCTTCCTGTTTTGACCACATCAAGCACTTTGTGTGCATACCCTCGGCTTAGCTTTTTCTTTCTCCTTTGCTCTTTTATAATAATCCCAAACATTAGCCAGTGTAAACAAAAGAAGCCTGAGATCCAGTGTGCCCCTGAAATCAGCAAAAAAGATATTTTCCCAGATGCGACAAAAAATTCTGGCAGTTGCTCGATTGCCTACAGTAGTTTATTTAAGATTTACAATTAAATTTAAAATTATTTAGGACTGAGACTAAGCAAAAGAGAGAATGTGTGTAAGAAAACAAGTGAACCAAAAAAAACTAGAAGGTATTTACTACATTTATATACAACTTTGCCGCCTCCTCCTCCCCATGTTATCCTCATAACAACCCTGTAAGCTGTAGCAGGTCGAGAGCCAGTGACTAACCAATGACGGCTCCCCACATCAAATGGAGGGTGGTTTTTGCATGGTCGCGTGCAGCCCCCCCCCTCATCCTACGCAGATCCCTAAAATACAACCTGGCTTTGCCCGCTCCCACACTAGATACCTGGAGGTTCCTGCCTAACCTCAGACAGTTAACCAATCCCGGCGTGGGATGTGGCATTGCCAGGGGAGTGGCCAGGCAGGGTGGGACCGACCTGCCCACACAATAGAGGGTGAATTTACTTGGGAGTCCTCGGTTGGCTCCAGAGCTTCTCCCACCCTGCCCTCCCTCAATTACGCCTTCTTTTGCAGGTTAACCTCTTCTCCACAGGTATGCAGGCGCTGCTATGTCATGGTTGCTGTTGAAGGGCTGGAAAGGAATTTTTCTGCATTGGCAGGTTTTGCCTTCCCCATAGCAAAATGTCACAACTTTGGCGGTTTCAGGCCTTGGGTGGAATCCTATAGTCTATCTTCGATAAATGGGGGGGCATGAAGCGGTGACCCCCCCCCGCGGCAGCGATCCCAGGATTCCCCGTTAAAGGGGTTGTTTTGAGGGGAGTCATTGGCCATATGCCCATAGGTTGTCAGTGGTCTCCCCTGCGTTGCGGCAAAATGGGGGGGGGGCTCTCTGCTTAAACATACGTTTTCCAGAGTCAGCCCAATCCCCACACATCTCTGCCTGTCCACACAAACATTACCCAGTGAGTTTCATGGCTGAGTGGAGTTTTGCATCCTGGTCTCAAAGATCCTAGTCCAACACACTAACCACTAGGCAAAGTGGTCTTCCTGATTTGCATGCTGGAATTATTTAGGCGCAGTTTTCCCCTACATTTTTATACAAAAAAATTGAAATGTGTTTTTAAAGTAATAGTTTGATATGTAGAGAGTGTTGAATGCATAGATCAGAAGGTTCTATAAAGACTGGCAAAACTGAGGGGGAAAAATCATTGCCAGGTCATGTTAGGACAAGTGATGGACTGCTGGGGGTCTGCTCTCAGTGATGGAAATGGAATTTGCCTTGCCTGTAGCAAGTCTGAATTTGGTACCCTTTGCTTTAAATGTAAATATGTATCATATGGTTATAGCTAGCATGTCAGCGGCAGCTGCAATCTCTTATGTAATGACTTATCTATAGCACGTATACACTCAGAAATAGTTAGGAGCAGATCAAAGTGCATATCTGCATGTCTCCTTATCACAGATGAAACCCTTAACTCACTTGCTAGACAACGTAATACAAAAAGCTGTTAAAGTGCCTGTTTGACACGCATGAGTTGTTGTTGTTTGTTGCAAGGGAGATTATTAGATATAATTCAATAAGTGGTCTGCTGTATCCTCGGTTGTTAGGAGCAGTGGAGTCTAGTTCATTATGGCAAATGGGGCACTGCCCCACCAACTTCAGTCTATCCTTAACCAACCCCCATCTGCCTGTCTTCTTACTCAGTCTGCAGGGTGGCACTGCCTCTCAGCTTCCTCCTCCTTAGTCTCAGCAGGGAAGACAATGGAGAATTAATTGGCTCTGCCTGTCATTGGTTCTGGTGCCACCTACTGCTAGGCTCCCTGCCTTCCACCCAATGGGTGCCAGCCACCACTGGTTAGCCAGTATTAGGCCCATCTTAGAAAGCACAGACATCACCTTGCCAACAAAGGTCCATATAGTTAAAGCTATGGTTTTCCCAGTAGTGATGTATGGAAGTGAGAGCTGGACCATAAAGAAGGCTGAGCGCCAAAGAATTGATGCTTTTGAATTATGGTGCTGGAGGAGACTCTTGAGAGTCCCATGGGCTGCAAGAAGATCAAACCTATCCATTCTGAAGGAAATCAGCCCTGAGTGCTCACTGGAAGGACAGATCATGAAGCTGAGGCTCCAATACTTTGGCCATCTCATGAGAAGAGAAGACTCCCTGGAAAAGACCCTGATGTTGGGAAAGATGGAGGGCACAAGGAGAAGGGGACGACAGAGGACGAGATGGTTGGATAGTGTTTCGAAGCTACCAGCATGAGTTTGACCAAACTGTGGGAGGCAGTGGAAGACAGGAGTGCCTGGCGTGCTCTGGTCCATGGGGTCACGAAGAGTCGGACACGACTAAACAACTAAACAACAACAAAAAGCAGTGTTGTGGAAGAAATCACTGAAATGTCCAGAAAAAGCCTGACATGTGGCAGTCCATGTCAGAAGTGTAGATTTTAGAGAATTTCATTAACATAGCTTTTTAAAAATCCATTTTATTTCTTGAGATTTTGCAAAAAAAAAAGTTCAGCAACTTTGTCCAAATAAGCTCAAGAACTTTTGTGTCCGGATTTTCACTTTTTGAAATATGGCAACCCTAGGTGAGAAGGGAGTTACAAAAACCAACCAGCTTTGATCATTGTCACATTTGCTGTAATCAATCTCATCTGCTTTCTGACAAGGAATCATGGTGGCATAATGACGTTGAATGAGACCTGTGGGACAGAAACAAGGAGAAGAAAGTGGCTTCAGTGTCACTGCCTTGCACATATAATATCATTGTCTGTTTCTACCTTCTCTCCTTTGTGTGGAAGATGGCAATGGATTTTATCCAACTAATTCATACTCAGAGTAGAGCCACTGAAATCACCAACTCTCTCTCTTTTAAAGAACCTCAGCTATTCCTAAAGCTTTTTAAAACCTTGCCCTTATCTTGCACTGAATGCCCACATTGAAATCAATGGGACTTAGTCCCAGATACATGTGTCTAGGATCACAGCCTACCAGCACCTGGATTTTACCTGGAAACTTCTGTATGCAAAGCAGATGCTCTACTGATGAGCTTCTGCCCTTCCCCACATGTCAAACAATTAACAATTTATACCACGCTTTCTTTTCCGCACACAGAACAGGAAAAGAACTTTGGCAGAATTACAATGGGGGGGAGAGACACAAATTAGCAGTGCAACAGGAAACACAAGGGAACTCAAAACAGAGCACGTTCTGCTTCCAAAAAAAAGTTTGAAAACCGGAACACCTACTTCTGGTTTTGCAGCGTTCGGGTTCCAAGTTGTTCGTGAACTAAACTGTTCGAAAACCGAGGTACCACTGTATAGGGTGAAACAAATATTTCCAGCATATTTCGAAGCCAAAACCCAAATGTTAAGGTTCACATTTAAAACACTGGGTAGCCTGAGACTCTGTAAGTCAATATGGAGTTAAGCCAAACCACCTGATGACATTTGGAAAGATGTTGTACTATGTTCATTTGGCTTCTATTTAAGCATGGCATTGCATTTCTCTCATCACTCTGCATTGCTTCCTTCACTTGGATCTTATCCAGTTCCCTTATACATTTTGTGAATCGTGCACAAGCCTTTTGGAAGTCTATTCCTTCCCGCAGCTCAGCTGCACCATTTATGAAGGCCACCAACTTTTCCTAAAATGGGAATATTGTGGGGCGGGGGGGATGAGGACATCACAGAGAAGGCTTGAGAGAGAGAGCAGGTGGCCCAGTAGTAAAGATCCCACACCAGTGACAGGTTAGAAAATGACAGGCATGTTATATCAAATTCTGTTCTTTTGGTAACAGAGTAAGAGGACAGCTGTATGTACAGGGTGGGAACATCTCTTATGCCAGCTGGGGCTAATGGTTTTGTGTTTCAGATTTGATACTGAGAATATTGCATTAGCTGGGGTTTGAATGCTTGGCTGAATGGTCTTCTAATTCCTAAAGTAAAAATACTTTTCTTGCCTTTTGCTGAAAGAGGCTCAATAAAAGAAGTCGAGTTTATTTACTGCTCTTGGTTGTCATCCTAAAGGCATCATCTTAATATATTTATATCTATATTATCAAGAATCTCTTGAGAGCCAATATTTCAGAGATATTTAACTCAATGCAAAAATTCCACGCACAGTTGATTAAATGAAAGGCAGCACTAAATAACACTCTATCTATAGTACATACTTCATTCATTGCACAGACCTGGCCTGAGGCTTGTTTTAAAAAGCACCAGATGTTTCTTTGAGAAATGTATTTGTCTTTGTGTGATGACAGATGCTTTCTGAAATCACAAAGTATGTAATAGCAGAGTTTGCCATTTGCAATCAGGAAATTCAATTTGTATCCTCAAAGGCACAACTTGAAGGGCAAAACCCAGGTTTTATATGTCTATGTGTGTTTAAAAATGCTATATAGATGAATGCTGTTTAACATTATGTACATTCACTGCTACAACAAAGTTAATTTCTACTGTTGTGGGATTTTTTTTGGTTTTTTAAAGGGAAAACCAGTTTCAAAGCCACTGGTGGTGTAAAACATTCTGTATACTTTATATACTGCACATGATTTTTTATATATATAAAAAACCCCACCAACTATAAGTTTCATATGCTTCACCTCAGGTGACCTTATCAAGATACATTTTTCAGAGGTATCATTATTATCAATTTACAATGGGGTGGAAGGTTCACAGGCTACAAAGGACTTGCTCACAAATTCATTGACAGCTGCACACAATATTATACCTAGGAAGTGGAAGGGGCAAGCAGAATATAAAATGGAAGAATGGTATAAAGAGATGTGGGATATAGCTATTAATGATAAATTAATATGTGCCATTAAGGTAAGATGGGGAACATGCAGGAGAAATGATTTTGTGGAGATGTGGAGGGTGTTTGTAGAATTCATACTGATAAAATGGAAAGGGGTCAAACCATCACAAGAGGTGTTGAAGTTTTGGGAGGTTGGGTAGTTACAATGGAATGGTCTCAGTGGTGGGGTGCACATTTTAATTCTGATTTATTTATGATTATTACTTCATCAAAATACAATTTTTTAAAAAATGCATTTTTCATGGGCAAATAACATTGCTGCTACTTAGGACTAGCCTAATTGAGGGACCACCTTCTTCCTTCCCACTTCTCCAGTCACTGTGGTCTTCAAGAGTTGCATTTTTTACTACGGCATGTGTTCCCAAAGTCTCCTCCATAATCACTGGGCCTTCAGCATGCTGTACCAACTCTATGGAAATCTCTGCCTTTGGACATTTGGGAAATGCCTACCGTATTATGTTTTAGGTGCTTGATCAAGACTTATCTCGCTACACAGCTTAGTTAGTTCCTCAGCGTGTGTCTACACTGCTGATAACCGTTCACTGTATATCTTGCATTTTATTTTGTATGTGCTATACTGGGTTTTAGGTTTTCAAATTGTGCACCATTTTGGTATTTATATGTTGAGTGCTATGAAATTTTGGGGAAATAAAATAAAGCAGGGGTTCCCAACCTTTCTATCTAAGAAACTGTTGTGGCTACTACAAAAGAACCCTTTCACAGAAGAAAAACTGGCGAAGCTCAGAACATCCCCAAGACTGGCAAAGCGGCTGCAGACCCCCAAAATACAAATAAAACACAGACAAAAAGAAGAAGACAATCTGCTCCAGAATCAGTGGAAAAGATCTAATTTAAAAGAAATCTAGGAGAGGCAAAGGGTCTTGGCAATTATCAAATTGCTGAAGCATGGTGACCTCAGGTGCCATGTTAGAGACCCTAGAAATGTAGGGTTGAATCCAACAAAGGCATTGCAACAGGAATTTGCAAGTTCTAGTCCCTGCCCCCATCTGCTCTGAAGGGTTGATGGAGGCAAAGGAGGACATCATCCATCTTCTTGCCTTGGAGCAAACAGCTGGCAGAGGGGGGCAAAATTATGATGGAACCCAGGAATGTATCTGCCCTATACCATGTCAGACCATTGGTTCATCTAACTCCATATTGTCTGCAATGACTGGCAGCGGTGGCTATCTAGGACAGGGGTAGGCAACCTAAGGCCCATGGGCCGGATGCGGCCCAATCGCCTTCTCAATCCGGCCCGCAGATGGTCCGGGAATCAGCGTGTTTTACATGAGTAGAATGGGTCCTTTTATTTAAAATGCATCTCTGGGTTATTTGTGGGGCATAGGAATTTGTTCATAGGGACAGTGGATCGGCCCACGGCTGAAAAGGGTTGCTGACCCCTGATCTAGGATTTCCAGCAGGGAACATTTCCAGCCCTCCCTGGTGAGTGATGCTGAAGATTGAACCTGGTGCCTTCTGTGTGCAGAGCAAATGCTTTGTTTCTGATCAATGACCTTGACTAACCTGCAGTTCTCTAACTCTGAGGTCAGAGGGGAAAGCCCCACCCTGTTCACGAGAGCTTCCTAGAGTCACTTGTTGTTCAAGCTGTAGTTATGCAATCAAGAAGTCCTCCCTCTGAAAGACCCTTTCTAGCTATGCTTTGCTCTGTGTTGAAGGCGAATTCCACGCTTTTCCACTAGCCAACGAGGAGCAGAGATTTGTGTATCAGAATTAAACAGATACACATGACATTGCAGCCAGATGTCTTTGGGTATGTTTTTATTTTTATTTTACAAGAGATAAAAACCATGCCTAGTATGGTTTCTCAGCATGACTGTTTCAATTACGTATTTTAAACAACCTTCAAATGCAGTGCAGCAAATGGATTCAGCCACGATTTGAGTTGCTTTCAATGCCAGGTATACATAACAGAGAGATGCTGAGGCTGTGTGTGGTCTGAAGCAATTGTCTTTTTTTTCCTGCTGCACATTTTCTCGAAAAGCAAATAGACCTTTGCTTACGCTCTGAGTCACTGCAAGTGTAATGTTACCCGGTTATCTTTAAGACACAATTGGGAATTGTGGAAAGGGAAAGAACCACTTCAGTCAATCATGTACAGAAAGCCCCACGCCAAACCAACAACAAGCACAAGATATGCAGAGTTCACAGCCTCAGCGCATGAGAAAAAGTTTGATTTACTTCTAATGGATGGATCATTTACGAAAGCACACCTGTCTCGATCATCAGCATCTCTAAATGTGCACTGGAAACAACTTAAAAGGCTTGGGGGACACAGATTTGCATACAATATGCCAAGGCTAATTTATATATAGATATGCAGCTTTTGATGGACTTCCAGAAGAGAAAATAAAACCCTTTGGCTCTTGGGCGGGATCTACACTGACCTGTCTAATGTTATTTCCCCCTGTCAGAACAATATTAGATATGTCGTTCTAAAATGCCACAGGGCATACTTGTGAATTAAAACCTTTTTTATCTTGGTTTTTTCCCGTCAAATGTAAGTAATGTCCAGCCACACCATCTTCCAAAATGCTGTTTCTTTCCCTGCTGCTGGTGGGCGGTTGCTTTGCTCCACCCTCTGGTGTCACATTTTAATTCTTCCTCCCTCCCTGAGCACTGCCCCTCAAATACCATTGGAGGGGAGGTGGAGTTTGAAGGCAGGAAAAAGGTAGAATGTTGCATAGGGACAAATGAGCAGTGTTTCACCGATATAGTGGCATAAAATGATTAAAGATTAAGCAATAAAAAAGACAAGGTAATAACTCATTATGAGCATAAAAGGTGGGACGTCATGTGTCCATCTACGTTATCAAAAGCATTCCTTAACCCTTCCTTAATTTGTCTCAGGGAGAGGGTGGAGATTAAGATGGTGGGGAAGTGGACCTCATTGGTATTGCTCATTGCAGCGGGTATGTGTGTGTGTGTGTGTGTGTGTGTGTGTGTGTGTATGTACCAGGGTTTGTCCTCCTCCCCATATCACCACTCATCTAAACTGGGGGTGGGCATAACTGACCATTTCTGTTTCCCACAGTTTCTCATTTTTCCAATCTTAACTTCTGTTCTCCACATCAATTCCACATTGGTGGATCTTTGAAGGGAAAAAAAATCATGGAAATAAATCAGCATGTTAGAGTGAATTTCTCCCAATATTGGCATTTTTGTGTGAAACTTTGCCTAATGTGCACTTTTTTGGCAAAGCAAGTCCCCCCTTACATAATGCATTCTTATAGGTTACTTTCACTAGCGTATTCATTTTATTTGCACACTGTACATCAGTATATGCATGAGATCTAAAGTAAAGATACAAAAAATTAATATTGATAGCAGCAACAACCCCACCACCAACAGAAAACCATAATCCTCAGCTTTTGTAGCTGGGGTCAGTCAAGGTCAGGTAGGAAAAGGTCTGCAAGGCAGGGAGCAGGTCTTCCAGGACTCACATATGAAATAAGGCCTCTTCTCTTGCATTAGATAGCATTCCTTTCAATATTAGCAAGAATACTCTAAATTCTAACCACTGTCTTTCTTTGAAGATATTGTTGTTGTTGTTATAATATTTCATATATGACTTTTACTGTTTACCTCTAGGAATTTCTAACATAATCACCAGTAGTGGATAAAATCTCTCTTCTTCTTCTTTTTAATCATGCCTTCTGATCACTTGAGAAGGGGAAGATTCCTGGACAGACAATGTTGCTGCTCTGCTGTCTAGTATGTCTACTTCCTCTATTCTTCCCATTATATATTGTGAAATGGAGATGAACTTGCCTTTTTGAAAGAAAGAAAAATGGAAGTGTTGTTCTTACTCTGAACCACTCTGGGGTCTTTAAAAATAAAAGAAAAGTTGGGTATAGATGATAGATAGATGATAGATAGATAGATGATAGATAGATAGATAGATAGATAGATAGATAGATGATGGATGATAGATAGATGATAGATAGATAGATAGATAGATAGATAGATGATAGATAGATAGATAAATAGATAGATAGATAGATAGATAGATAGATAGATGATAGATGATAGATAGATAAGAGATAGATAGAGATAGATAGATATAGATAGATGATAGATGATAGATGATAGACGATACATGATAGATGATAGATGATAGATGATAGATGATAGATAGATAGATAGATGATAGATAGATGATAGATAGATAGATGATAGATAGATGATAGATAGATAGATGATAGATATATAGATAGATAGATAGATAGATAGATAGATAGATAGATGATAGATAGATAGATAGATAGATAGATAGATAGATAGCTATAGATAGATGATAGATGATAGATGATATAGATAGATAGATAGATAGATAGATAGATAGATAGATAGATAGATGATAGATAGATGATATAGTATATTCTCTTCATTAGCATGAGCCATTCCTCCACTGGTGTCATGGCCCAAGATTCAGACCTCCTGCTATTAGAGGAGGGGGCTCTGGTGACCTGGAGAAGGGAACCTATGGGTTCAAGATCTACCCCAGGCAGAAGCAGATTTAACTGCCAATCCCTCTTACCAGGGAACTCTGAAGGGAATAGGGGTGTCCTAACAACTCTCAGCAAATTTAATAATCTAAAGTTCCCAGGATTCTTTGGGGAAAACCATGACTGTTTAAGGTGGTATGATTCTAATTTAAATATAGCGAGAAGATGGGGCCATAGTCTAAAATGGTACAATTCACACACAGCATTAACACCTCATCTATGGTTTGTGAGAACTAGGCTAACACTAGAACAATGCTCAAGGTCCTGAGCATAAATGAAGTGTATATCATGGAGGTTCTGCTCTATTTATCTGCTAGTTGAATGGTAGTAACCCAAGGAAGTCTGCCATTTTGATGTGAACTGAAGATCTTCGGTTTGCCAAAAGTCAATTTGAGGATCTTCAGTTTGCCAACCAGCGTTCCACTTTGGGAACCACAAATAAATCCCACCCAGAGCTTTCTTATTCTATTAAAGTATCAAAAAATTAAGCTATGGGCCGAAATGTCACATTCTACTTGCTCTGAATCAGCCCTGGGCTGAAAAATAATTTGTGACTGGAAAATGACCAGTAGTTAATGCAAGCCAAAAGTGAACGAGTTTTTATTGTCTAAAAAATAAAGGAGGAAAAAAGAACACACGAGCTGATCTAAGGTTCCTGTTATTTCCTTTAATCAGAGTGTAAGTTGTTTCGTTTTTCCATAGGAGAAGTGCACAGCAAAATCCACAGCATATCAACTTTAATCTCTTAAACCAGAAAGCCGAAGAGCAGCTAATTTGAGAAGCACGGGGGGGGGGAGCCTCAAAATGCAATGCCAAGCTGGTGCTTAGATCACACTGGATGTTAAAAAGTCTGGGGAAGATAAATAAATCAGCTCTGGATTTAGGGTCACGAGCAGCGGTTCCACCACACAGGGTGCCAAGCCGAGGGGGCACAAAATTGAGAAGATACATATCTGAGAAGATCCATTGGGGGAGGGGCACCAAATTTTTGCCTTGCACATGGTGCCATGTTACAAAAGATTAAGTCTATGCCTGGTGCAGAAAAGACAAACATCTGAGGAAAGAGAGTTCCATAGATGTCGGGTGCCTACCACAGAGATAGATAGATAGATAGATAGATAGATAGATAAACTTTATTCGCATTAGCCAATGGCCATAGCAACACATCAGCTTCTCACGATGTGCTTTATTAAAGCAAAAAGGCTAATTGGACAGCGTCTGAAGGACTTAGAGCAACAGAACAATCTGGCCATTATAAAGAAACTCTGTCCTTGGTATGCCTACCACAGAGAATAGCTGCTCTCTCTTTATCAAGGTCCTATATTATTCTGTAGGGTCACTGTAAAGAATGCCTCCAGAGCATAGCACAACACAAGATCCTGCTGGTACGTTGCTGGTGGGACCTGGTTTCAAGTCATGCTTTAAAACTTCAGTGGTAAGCTTGGGACACTTTGAATTGTGCTTGAACCTGAACCAGCAACAGTGCAATTCTTTCAGCACTGGAGTAATATGTTCTGTTCACCCATTGGCCAGTTACAAACCTAGCAGCTGCATTTTGGATTAACTATCTTTTCTGAACAGTCATTAAAGGCAGCCCTATGTACAATGCACTGCAGTAGTCTAGCGGGAGGCTTACCAGAGCAAGGCTAGCCATAGCCAGACTCTTTCTGCTTTTGATGACTGTGAATGGAAATAGAATGTGGTCAAATAGGCACCCAACTCTCATCCTGATCAAAACTAGCATGTAATTTCCCATTGGCTCAGTTGTGGTTACTTTTTCATTTACATACATTACAATACGCACACAAAAAGAAGCATGAGATGAAAAGCTGGCTAATTAAATAATGTAAAGTGCTTTCAAAAAGGAAGGAATAGAAATGGCCTTTGTTCAAGAAACCGATTCTGCGAACTTCTTCATCTCAAGTCATGTGGTAAGGCACATGGCCACATTAAAAAAAATCTTTTTTATCTTTCACACACTTGCACTTCTGTTTCGTCTTACGGCATTGATTCAGTCATTCTCTAAAGTTCAGCTCGGTCCCAGACCCGTTGGGGGCACGACCTCTCAGTTCCTTCATTGTGCTGAGGTTGTCATATTGACAAGCAAGTGTTAGATGTCATCTTTCTGCACCAAAAGCTGGCAAGCTCAGCTTGGAACAGCAACGCTCACATCAAAGAGACATCTTGCTGGAGACATCGCTTTCCTCTTCAGGGGGCAAACATGAGCAACATACTGTATAACCCCAAGTAACGTATGTAATTTTGGCAAAGGCTCTCCCTTCAGACGATCCTAAAGTGACTTTCCAAAGGTCGCTGAGGCTTAGGCAGAACAGCGATGCGAATGTGTACATTTGTATGACATTCCCTTGGAAAATGCTTTTATGTTTTCTCGCTAAATGCCTGCTCAATTTTGTTATTGTTTTTGGCACTTCCCCTTGGCATGAGATGATGGTTTATGTCAGGGAGATCAATGAAGCTTTTTCTTTTTCTTTTTTTAAAACAAAAGAGTCAGTGACTCTGAATCACTCATCTCTTGTGTTATTTGTTTGTTTCCTATTTCCTATAGCTGGCTCGCCCTAGAGATGTGCTCTGTTCTATGTTCTCTGAAATTAGATGTTTTCCATGCAGCCATATGGATCTCTCTCTTTTTTCCAGGGGAGAAAGCATCATTTCAATGATACCTCTTGAAGACTGGATTTTTGACATCTTGAAATTCTACATAAATCCATGCAGATCAGCTTAGGTCATGGTGGGTGAGGGCCAGGCCAAGCTGATTGCAATTAGTTCCCATTGAAAATTAATGGCACTTAGGTCATGACTGACTTTTAACACTGATTTAAATGGGTGTTTGCTTGAATGCATTGAGCCCAATGTTGCTTTGCAAGACTTGCAGGGGAACCCTGAGGAGCCACACACTGAGGACTTCTGGCAGTGGCGTGTAAATAGAGATAGGGGAAAGGAGGAGGAGTGGTGGAATTGCTAGCTTTTTGCTTCTGAGTAGGGGATAATTTAAAAAGAAAAGGGGGTTCCCTGGACAGAGGGATTGACTGTTCAGCCACTCTGAGAACTGTAGCTCCATGTGGGGAATATGGGTCTCTTAACAACTGTCTCCTTAATAAATTACACTACAGTGGTACCTCTGGTTACGAACTTAATTCGTTCCGGAGGTCCGTTCTTAACCTGAAACCGTTCTTAACCTGAGGTACCGCTTTAGTTAATGGGGCCTCCCGCTGCCACATCGTGATTTCTGTTCTCATCCTGAGGTAAAGTTCTTAACCCGAGGTACTACTTCCGGGTTAGCGGAGTCTGTAACCCAAGGTGTTTGTAACCCGAGGTACCACTGTATCTGGGAGTCTTCAGGAGAAGCCAGGGCTGTTAAAAGTAGTGTGATTCAGGTTTAAATGAATAGTGCAGATGGAGCCATAATCAGTGCTTTCTTCTGGGTGTATGCAGGGGTACGCATACCCCTAAACATTTTGTGAATCTTTGTACTTTTGTCCATTTACTGTATTTATTTTCCCCGATTTGAACTATAAAATGGTCATTTTCTTGAGTCAAAATGAGAGTACTGCTAAATATTTTTTTAGGAAAAAAGCACTGGCCATAAGGATATCAGAACTTTGCTCTCCAGGAAACATTTACCTGAGAGAAAGCCCATTGGAAACAACGGGACTTCTAGTAGGACGAAACTTTGTAAGAATAAATAATAAATTATTAGCAATAGCAAGAATGAGTTCCTTGCCCTGTTCCTTCCCACTATAAATGTAAGTATTTAACATTTACCATAAACTAAAGGGCATTTAAATTTAGAAAATGAAGCTATGAGCTTGGAGGCCAAGATTCTTTCTTCTGTTGAACGAAATGAAGTTGCTTATAATTTTCACTCCAAACCACACCATACTCTGTAGTCTTTCTTGTTTCATAGAGTTTGATGTGTTTTACCCTCCCAGTATACTTGTGAAATGTAAAAATACCACCACCAGGTTTTCTTAATAAGATGTTTTCCCCTTTTATAAGCTCTCCAACACAAAATGACACCCAACCAAAAGCATTTCAGTTAACATCTGTGTTCATCTTTATCAGAACTGATAATCAAAGAAATGGCTGCAATGTGGCTGACAAAGGGAGTTTCCGTCAGGATGAAAGTCAAATCAGGAAATAAATTGTGTGGGGGTGGGTTTTTTTAATATAAGTAAGCCACCCTGAAAATGAATATTATTATGGCACTGACTTCTGAGACATTCATTTCAGAAAAGTCTCAGAAAGCAAGCCTCTTATTTCCATTTCTGTGTGCTTTTACATGTTCTGCAATTTCCTGAGCACTGAGAATTTTCAAGGGCAGTGCTTACCTGAGCTGGCTTTTGGCTGATGGAATGGCACTTTGGAGGGTAAGGCTATCAATAGCTACTTGCATGGTAGGATAAATAAATTCACGCAGATACGGATATTTTGTTTAAGGTTTTTGGGCAAAAATTTGGCCACTACTTTATTGATTACAGGAATGAGAGAGGCATTGGCTTAGGCATTGGCAAGACTATATCTGACACCTGCCCCCTTTACAGGAAGTCTGTAAGGGTAAACCACCCAAAGGGAAATGGCTTCGGGGGAACCTGCCTGCATCTCCCCTGGTGTTCCCAGAGGCCTGGCATGGCCCTCACCCTTCAAGCGGACTTCGGACAGGAACCAGGCCCCGGCTTCCTTTAACGGAATACCCTTGAAAATGGAGGGGCAGGTGATGGCCGACCTCCCCTCCCCCATTCACCATAAGCCAATGCCTAACCGCCAAACTGCTCACTGGAAGGACAGATAGTGAAGCTGAGGCTCCAATACTTTGGCCACCTCATGAGAAGAGAAGACTCCCTGGAAAAGACCCTGATGTTGGGAAAGATGGAGGGCACAAGGAGAAGGGGACGACAGAGGACGAGATGGTTGGACAGTGTTCTCGAAGCTACCAGCATGAGTTTGACCAAACTGCAGGAGGCAGTGGAAGACAGGAGTGCCTGGCGTGCTCTGGTCCATGGGGTCACGAAGAGTCAGACACGACTAAATGACTAAACAACAACAACCGCCAACCTTACAAAGTTGTGACGATTGCTAAGAGGTAGGCAAAAACCAAGCGGCCCGTGCCAATTTGCCAAATGGAAAAAATTGCTACTCGGCCCCCAACTCAAGCCGGGCAACCAACCAAAGTCCAAAGCAAGGCCAAAGGATCTAAATTAAAGGGAGGGTGGGCGGGTGTTTGGAAGCACGAAGCAGGAGCCTGGCACAAGTCGCGCTGCCGCTTTTATACTTTCCCCCACTATCACCCTTGACTTGATTGGGCAATAGCTCTGGGTGATTGTGGTGCCACCCCGGCGTGAGGGCGATAGCTTCACCCATGCCAGGGTGGGGGAAACCAGGTTGAGAGCCTGCCCGCAACCAGGACCATCTATTAAGATGATCCCATTAACCACACTATGTTCTCCTTCCACACCCTCCACCCCTCACAGTCAGGTCCTGTTTGTAGGCACCCCACAGGCATGAGGTTGGCCACTGTAAGAGCAGGATGTTGGACTGGATGAGCCATTAGTCTGGAGCTCTTCTTGTATTCTTACGTAATATTGGGAACAAGTTGAGCATTAGTGGAAACAGACAGCACACAAGTGGTCCTACAAAGGAAGAAATCCACTGTCCCAAATCACACCAGTACCTCCAGATATTTTTAGCTAGCAGATCCCGGCTCAACTCTCACTTCTCTCAAACTTTATCCCCTTTGTCTCTATTCTTTTCACACAGAGCTCTAGCTCACTTCTTTCTAAGAAGTGTGCAAAAACTTGTGTCACCCCAGAAAAATCCCAATATCCCACCCAAAAGTGGACATTCGTGGACAATTACGGAACGTCCTGCCCCAGAACATTCTTCTGTACAACCCTCATATTGTGATATAGCACAAAATCTGCCTTACTCACACTAACAATCATATAACAGTCATAGAATCATAGTTAGTACAGTTAGAAGGGACCCCGAGGATCAACTTGTTGAACCCTCTGCAATGCATCATTAAGGTATTACAACAGCCCATAGCTGACTGCTCAGTAACTCCACTCCAGCCTCAAAAACTGAGCAAAAAATTTACTGTATTTTCTGGCATGTAAGACTACTTTTTAACCCAGGAAAATCTTCTCAAAAGTTGGGGGTCGTCTTATACGCCGGCTACAGCAGCAGCTCCTGCAGCAACTCCCCACCAGAGGATAAAAAGACAGCAAATTAAATCAGAGGACACCAAGCTCTCTAGATGAAGCAAAAATATGCTTGAAAATTGGCCCCAGAAGCCCCCGGCCACTGGGAAGTGGAGCGGATTTCTGAGCCAGACTGGAGACTGGTTTTTTAATTTTTTATTTGGTGTGCGTTGAAAGAGGGGTAGTCTTATACGGCGAGTATATCCCAAACTCTATATTTTAACTGGAAAAGTTGGGGGGTCGTCTTATACACCCAGTCGTCTTATACACTGGAAAATACAGTACATGGAAAATGAGTCTGAAGTAGCAGACAGGAACAATCTCTTGCTGTCTTGCATAGATCATTTTATTTGCATGCCGCCTTTCCATAGTTAAAACCATGCTCAATGCAGCTTACAACACGAAAAACAATTACATAATTACAAACAACACAAGTAGTCATAATAAACTATAAATGAAACGTCAAAAAGCGCCCAACCAAATTAATCACGTTCTGCGTAAATCTTAGTAAGATCTAAAATAAAGATGCACAAAACTAATATCGGTAACAGCAACAACCCCCTTCCCCACAAAAAGCCTCTAGACGTACCCCGGTGTTGCCCAGATACCATGACTGTCAAAACTATGATACTTACTAGCATCTGATCTCCATTTATACATATGTAATGGAACTGGAAGTCAATGGAATACATGTGTGTAAATGATAGCAGAACCAGGCCTCAAGTGTTTTCCTACAGTGTTGATGCCTTTCCAGATATTTTCATTTGCTTCCACAAATTATATAAATGTGTAGAGCTGAGATGCTCTCTCTCAGTGGGCATCTGCATCTTGAAATGTGTTGTGGATCAGTCAGTTCAGTGTAAGAATTTAAACAGATCTCTGAAAAAATATGGATTAAAAAAACAAAACCACACCCATCATAGATGCAGTACTGGTCATCTTCAAATTGCCTTGAGGTTTTCATGTTTAAATGTCTGATTCCCTCTTCTGTCTTGCAGACTCAAACTTTATTCATAGCTCCTTATTAAATATTATTTCCAAATCCTGTTATTGAGTTTGCTAAATTCTTTTGCCCCTTCTACACACACACACACACACACACACACACACACACACGTATTTCTTATTCATCTGACATTCAAAGGATTGCTTTTTTCTAACCACAGCAAACATTTAAAATCCAACCTTCTAAGCTCTTAACTTGACTGCACTTCAGTTTAATGGGAAAGCACACTTGCCGATTTGACCTCTGATTGGATTCTGGTTGAGCGAAATAGGAAAGAGTTTCAAAGTAGACTTTCATACACAACCAGCTGCCAGTCTTTTTTCTAATTCACTGTGACTCATCCAGTCATCTATTCCCCCCCCCCCCCATATATATTTTTTCACAGTTATGCTTATTTGGCTGGTTCCTAATTGGAACCCTTTAGCAGAGTCCTGTCCTTAACCACTTTGAGGATGTTGAATAAATATGTCATTTATATTTTTAAAGGGTAAATTACGCATTTTAAAGGCAGAATCAGCAGGTTCTGGTCGGGGGCGGGGTATGGTATTTCCTTGACTGTTAGCAGCAATCCTTGTGAAATACGTTAAGTCATAATACATAATACTGGTTTCCCAAAACATTGCAAATTCGAGTGAAAATTAAGTTCTATTTGTTAAATTTGAAATTAAATTTGAAAATTTGAATTTTGAAAAATTTGAAAATTAAGTTCTATTTATGTGCTATTTGTCATTTCAGATGTAAACCATGCGCAGCCAACATGGTGGCCTCCAGATGTCGCTGAACTACAACTCCCATCATCCCTGACCATTGCCCATGCTGACTGAGGCTCATGGGGGTTGGAGGGCTGGAGGCTCCCCACCCTGTCACAGATTCTGTTACTTTTTGTGTGTTATGTTTTAAACTTATTTAATTGAGTTTTGCATTTTGTAAGTCATCCTGCCAGTCTGATTGAAGGGTAAGATGTAAATCCCTACAATCAGGCAATTTATTAAATCTGCATGTGAATAAAATGATAGTTCTGAAACACAAGGAACACCCTTCCTTTGTCCTTAGATGATGCACGTGTGCGAATTGGGAGACATCATTTTAGGAGAAGTCTTCCATCCCTTGTGAGAACATGGAATGCCCCTTTTAGGATGGTGTTCTCCCAGTGCTATTCTTCCAGAAAAAGAGGTGCCATTCTCAATGAACTTTGCCCTTGTTCTCTTAGAATGGCAATGGTGCCCACCTGAGAGGTGCTGGAGCTGAGCTCCGGTTGGAAAAAAAATCCCTGGTGTTCTTCATTTTCACATTAGATCATGGCAGTATATACCAGGACAGCAAACTCCACAACTGACCCATTTTAAGTGGGAAATCCCAGAATCACAGAAGCCATTCCTGGCTTCTGTTTACATCCTGGAACTTCTAATTTTCTGGACTGGTGCTCTGGCGAAAATCCTCGCGCCAGATCACTGAACCAAAAGACACTCATTCTGTCAATAATCATTAGGTTTGTACCAAAACACCTTCCGGATTCTTCTGACATGTTCCAGAGTGCCAATTGGGGGGATGAAAATATTGGAGGGCATGGGGCAGTGCTCTTGTAGAGCTTCCAATCAGTTCAATGGAGAATGTGCAGGGGAACATCTTGGTAGATTGTTCTTTAAATATACCGTAACTGCTTTCCTCCAACAGTTCCTGTTCTTAGTAAATTCGTGGGGGTTTTTTGTTTTTTTTTAAATGATATTTATTGAGAATTTAAAATTACAGAGAGAGAAAGGGGAAAAAAATAAAAAATAAAAAGGAAAAAAGGTAGACAAAAAGAGAAATTAAACAAATACAAGTCAATAAAAACAAAAATCAAAGAAAAAACAAAACACATAAGACATCAAAATCAAAGACAAAAATAAACAAAAAATTAAAAACAAATCCAATATTCCCAAATCTTTATCTTTCGTTAACTTGTTCCATCGACCTCCTCACACCTCCCTTTTTTGTATTCTAGTTATTAATTATCTCAGCAAATCCTTTCCATCTTTCACTATATTCTGTCATTAAATTACCTTAATTTATTTTAACCTTATCTTACCATAAAAAGCCCTAAAGCTTAAAACTTAAAACTTATTTATACATAATTCTTTTTAACATAACATATTTATACATAATTCTTTTTAACATTTCTACTAAAGCCAAATAATTTCATTCCAACATTTTTCTAATACTCATTAATTTTACAATGATTTTCTAAATGAATTTTTAACAATTTCTTCCAATCTTCATCCATCGTCTTCTTCCTGGTCTCGGGTTTTGTCAGTCCTTTCTATCCCGTCCATCTAGTCCATCAACCTGGTGACCTGCTATCCGAGGCTCTTAAGCCTTTTCCATGTCCCTTCTGCAGGTCTTCTTCATGTTTATACCTGCCCTTTACTTTATCTTCTGCTGCTCTTATTCTTAATTTCCTTCCTTTCTCTCGGGGAGACTCCAACTTGACAAGATCTTTGTCCCTTCTCAACAGGTCAGCCCATTCTCCATAGTTGACACTGAAATCCAAAAGATATTTGAGAGCATGTTTCAAAGTCCCTCCAAGGTTAAGGGCCCCCACAACTCCAAACTCCCCCTGGCCCAAAGCCAGATCCGAAAAGTCAAAACATCCCTGCATAGGGGGATCTATCCAACTTCCCATCTCCAGACCAAACAGTACTCCATCTCTCCAAATCTGACTTTCTCCAGGTTCAGTCGTCAGAAACAACAACTTATGTTCCTGCAAGGCCGCAGCTCTCTCCATTTCTATTACTTGAGGTTCAGCAACAACCTCCTCCTTTATCTTCTTCACCACTTGCTCTGTCAAAGCACATTCCTGGATTAATTCCTGAGTGGTTTCTATATAGGTATTCACTGTTTGTCCAAAATTGCCAACTGCAACAGTCATCAAAGCCATCTTCTCATGTAGCTGTTCCAGTAAAGCGCTTGTCTTGCAAAAAGCAAGCACTAAAGCTTCTTCTGGGCACATTCTAGTTCAAGGTCAATGTCTGGTCTCACGATCTTTAATCTCTACAGCTGTAGAGTTCCTCAGATTGACTCTAGCAACAGTTTCACAAGCTCCCTCTAAAGGAAACAATTTCTATTTGTATCCGTCTTTTTAAAAGCAGATCTAGCAACAAAGTTCCTTTCGTTTTTCAGATATTTTGTTCCTTTTAAGTCAAAAGGGAACATTGGAATCAATATATTTCTTTTTTAACTATCTGTCAAAAACGTTTTATCCACAGTCAATGAACTTCCCCAAAGCGTCTGTCTCTGACACCCCACTCCCAGCTTCAAGACAGTGGAAATTTATCTTTCTTTACTCTCTCTTCTGCAGGCTTAAACAGTCTAAAATTTCCCCCCTCTTCTCCTGCTTCCAAGGGGGGTTTAGTAATTTTAACTGATGGAAATTTAGTCCTTTACAAACGACTTTCCAGACTCTAGCTTGCAATGTCTTTGCTTCAATCTATTTACAAAAGCGGAAGGCGGACTTCCTGTTTAGACCTTCCCGCTTCGGTGCCAAATTAAAAAGTTTCATAGTCCAATTTTCCGTTCTACTCACGGGCAGTTGTTTAAAATCCAATTGTCCACAGGAAAAAGTCAGCGCTCTCCGGCAACAGCAATGCGGCTTCACTCCGTGAAAAGAGCAGTCGATTCGAAGCACCGCGCCATTCACCCCACGTCGCTCTGGATCCCCGAAACCGGGTTTCCCCGCGAGTAGGGGAGGTGCAAAAGGTGCCAGCCGAATCCCACGTCCACAAGCTTCTCCCGCCTGTGGTTTTTGGTGGGTCTCCGCCTCGCCGCGGCGGTCCAGACCCTAGTTCTCATGAAGCGGATTCCTCCCGATCAGAGGAAATCCGCCATTGCCGGAGGCGCTAACCCAGAAGTCCCTGTTCTTAGTAAATTGAATGTGTTTGTTTTTCACAGTGATGGCTACCCAAATGAATGTGCTTGACATATACCATCATTTTCTGAGAAATGAATCGCACCAGAATTTATATACATTTCTTTACATCAGATACAGTGGTACATCGGTTTTCGAACATCTCCGTTGACAAACTTTTCGGAACTTAATGCCATAAACCCAGAAATAAATGCTTCCATTTTTGAACATGCCTCAGAAGTCAAACTTCCAAGGAGGCTTCCTGTTTGAGTTTTCCATACGTTTTGAGGCTTCCATATTGAGTTTTCGGTTTTCGAATGTTTCGGAACTCAAACGATCTTCCGGAACAGATTATGTTCGAAAACTGAGGTACCACTGTATAGGGAACCTCCAGAGGTCTCCATGTATTCCAAAGGGCCTTCTCTGCCCCACACATTTTCCTCTCAGTCTTCCCTTGTCTGATGCCAACCCCTTCAGCTGTTAGGTTTGGGGGGAAATCTTTCCATTTACACCAGCGGGATGGGTGGATATGTATGAATGGATATGTTCATGTGAGAGTGGGTGTATGGAGTGCCCTTCCCACTTCTGTTTTGGTCCCACCTATTTTGGGGCTGTAGCCCCACCCATAACCTGTAAGTGGCCCCCAGAAGGTTAGACATGAATGAATATGATCCTGGGGCTGAAGAAGGTTCTCCAGTCTTGCTTTTCATTGATGCTTTCTCTACTTGTTCCTCCAGAATGAGTCATTGGCAGACCGTCACTAGTCAACCACCAGCCCTCCAGTGCATTCAACACTGAGTTGCTTTAGAGACAGTGTATGTACTTTTGTAACCCCAGAAAATATTTAATAAAAAACTTTTTTTAAAAAATCCCCACTGATCATGACTGAAGAGGACATTCTTGTTTTTCAGCTAACCACTACTATTATGTCATTGACCATATGCCATTCAGCACTATCCATTTCCTTCTGTGAAGAAGCTCTTTTGCTAATTCCCTCTCCAAGGACGAGTCTCCTCTCTGAAATACATTGTAGAAAGTGGTAACCTGCAAGAAACCTCAGTGAAGTCGCAGGTATTTGGAAGTCTTCCCATTGGAAAACCATTTGAATATTGGAATTGGCAGATTTGCACTTGTTTGGGTTATTTTTATTGCATTTTGATGCTTTGCTGTGAGTTGCTTTGAACATTTGGTTGGAAAGTTAGGATATACAATAACCTCAATTACTGGGGAATCTTAATTACTGGGGAACGGATGCAGCAGTAGAGCATATGCTTTGTATGCAAATGAGCCCATCGCATCCTCCATTACGGATGAAAATGAGACCCATCTGAAAACCCAGAGATCTACCATTAGCCAGTAAAGACAATATTGAGCTAAATGGACTTAAGATCTAACTTGGTATAGTGCTCCTCCCTTAGCCTTGTGACATACGAAGTAACAACAAAGGGAAGCATGGAAGCCCTCCAACCATATGCAGAAGTTTATCTCACCGCTGAATAACCATAGCCAATTCCTTACATCTGACATTAGGAAAGAAGACTTCCATGTTGGAAAGCATAAGTTCCAGGCAGGTATAAACTTTGGCATTTCTCTTTAAAAAGAAAGGGGGGGTCATCTCTGGGAGCTGGGTTGCAAAACCCAGGTCATAGAATGATCAAGAGAAATAGGATCCCAAACCTGCCGTGATCTGAGAAGTGGAAACTGGGGATTTAACATTTGTCCCACCACCTTACTCTGGTCAAAGTAGAGCTGCAGGGAGGTAACCCATATCAGTTGATCATCTAATAGCATTTGAGCCTTATAAAAGCTTCTGCGTCAAAATTCTTCACTGATCTGAGCAATCAAGAGACCTGATCTCCAGACTCGTCTTTGCCCTTCTGCACCACGCAGGAACCAGGTTTGGTGCTCAGTGAAGGACTATATTTTGGCAATTCATCAAATGCCTGCAAACAAGGGTCATATAAACTGCCATGCATTACAGCTGCATTCGTGATGTCATTTTGGTACCAAGCATCCTTAGCAGAAGTGGTGGCATGCAGTGAAATTTCTTGTAGGGGAACACTTGAGGCCAGAGGCACCAGCTTGCAAGGGCAATGGGGGGGGTGGAGTGATGTTGCATACATGAGCACTGCACTTCCCTTCCTAAACCAGGCAGAAGCTTCCCAGGCTCTGGGAAAGAGGTGCCGGGTTTTTGACAGGATGCTGGAACCCTCCTGCCTCCTTCCCAAAGCTTGGCGGGCTTTGGGAAGGTGGCTGGAGGGTTCTTGGACCTGTCAGAGCATTGCGCCTCCCTCCCTAAGCCGAGCAGAAGCTGCCCAGGCTTTGGGAAGGAGGCACCAGGGGAACATAGGACTAGTCTAGCCCCCCTAGTCCACCGACCACATGCCACTGATCAGAAGCACGTAAAATGGCTTCTGATACAATAGTTGCAGTAGCATCTAAGATGCCACACAAGTACGGAAATGTGATTTTCTGCTGCTGCCTGTCTGTTTAAAATCCAGTTACAGTTCGCTTCATGGGAGTCAAAATACTACAACTCTCATCATCCTTGGCCATTAGCTAAGCTGGCTGGAGTTTATGGAAGGCACCACAATGGCTGCCTCCAGAATAACAGAACCATTCTGCCCTGCACTCCTGGAACAATCCAGTCACATCTATCCATTAAGCATGATATTCATTCTTATAAAACCATGGTGCATGGCAGCTGTGAGGCTATTGGCGAAACTAAAGCAGCACTGATGCAACTGGCTAGCTGGCCCTCCCAGTGCAATGCCTCAAGAGTGTTTGCAGGCAGGTCCTATATAGACTTACTGGCTTTTGCAGCCTCTTATAGCACTGGGTCATAAGATAACACTATTGTTTTGAGCTCAGCTGTCTGAGCATTTAAAAAGCAACGACACAACAGGACGTAACCTCAGAATGAGCCCAATAGACATGTCTGCACAATTTGCTCTGAGCAGCATCTGGAGTGACAGAACACACTTTGTGAGCAGAACAGAAAAGGAAAAAGCTAACACTCCTCCACCATCTGACCTTGCCCTGGAGCAAAAATAAAAATCTCCTTAGGTTCTACTCAATGTCACCCACAAGGTTTAGACAAACAATTCCCAAGTAATTCTAGGGGAAAGGCAAATTAATACTGAGAAAAATGGTTTTCCTTTCCTTTCCTCTCTCTCTCTCTCTCTCTTTGGATCAGCAACCATTATTGTGATTTTAGTGCTGTCGCCATCTCCAGCCGTTGGGATAGACTTTGCATCTCTACTGATTCTCAACATGTTTTGAAATGTGTGGCAGAATTGCTTTCTGTTCTGCTGTTCATCTAGCTACCTGAAAGCATTGAGAGAAAGCAAGAACTGGGAACTAGATAAATTAAAACCCTTCCTCTAGTTTTGTATAGATTAGAAAGTTCTGGCTTTGTCAAAACCACTCATCAAGCTTCCTCTAGGCTATTTGCTACCAATTCCATTCGCAGATGGGGTGATGAACTGGATAAGCCAGTTGCATGTTACAAAATGGCAAGCTTCATCTTCCTAGATGCTTGTCTGCAAGAATTCTTAGGAAGGCGACTTAAGCACAAATGCTTGAGCACAATTTTGCAGTATTGTGTGTGCTGTGTGCTGGCATCTATCATTCTCGAGAGACAATGGAGTGCGCCTGTGGGGGCGAAGTCAAACTGTGTTGTTTTGCTCCATTAGCAGCACCGAAATGACCTCTCTAGGGTGCAAGACTGGGCAGTGTGTATGGAGGTCTTGGGCGGACAACAAGACCCTCCCTCTCAGCCTCCCTGATGTGGTCCAAAGGAAATCATAGCAATACATTTGGGATCAGCTTGGCTGCAGGAGTTGCCGGAAGGAGGCGTACAAGACGCCAGCCAACTATAATAGGGACTCCACTCCATAGGTATGTCAGGTTTGCTCCTTAGCCTTTTCTTCTCCTGAGGAGCACCTGATTTGCATACAGAAGGTCCCAGGTTCACAGGAATCTCCAGTTAAAAGCATCTCAGGTACCAGAGCTGTGAAAGAGCACCTCACCTGAGACGCTGGAGACCCAGTGGCAGTAAGAGTAGGAAGTTCTGGGCTAGATGCATCCATGATCTGATTCATTATAAAGCAGCTTGATGTGTGTTTATGAAAGTTGAAACCCAACTTATCCATGCAGGAAGGAAGCAAAGACATTTGCTGAGGTTAGAACCTTTTGGCAACAGAGCTACTACATTTGCTGTGCTGTGTGTGTGTGTGTGTGTGTGTGTGTGTGTGTGTGTGTATGTGTACTATAACAATCCCAACCCTTTTAGAATCACATCCTGGATGATGTCCACTCTGCAGTAGCTCAGCATGTTCTATTAACACTTCAGAAAAGATAATGTTTCTTAAGAGATAATGTTGCTTAGGAGAGCCTCTTGAAAGCCGAGTCTTGTGAAAGCTTATTCTGTTTGACACTGGTAAAAGGCAAAAGCCCCAGTTAAAGTGAAGTGACAGCTGTTTACATAAGCAGACCCTGGTTACTTTAATTATTCCTTTTTGGCAGGCTAGTAAAAGTTTAATCTTCCCTAAATCCTACAGTAATGTCTGCTTGCTGGAGGGTTTCATTGCCCTGGGAAAATGAAAGAAAACTTCCTCAAGAACCTATCTTGAAATCAACTAAGTTCTGCAGGAAAACTAAAAGGAACTAATGTGAAATGACCGAAGGCCATGAGAAATGAACATGGGTGAAATGGGCCAAAGCACAGGAGGCGAGTGGTTACTGAGGGAGGGGCTTAACCATGTGTATGCAGTAGGAAAAACATGACACCCAACTTGGGATAGAAATGGCCACAACTCTATTGATTACAGATGTAAGTCAGATTTGGCATAGGCCTTGGGTATATAGCCTGAATCAGCCAACCCATTTGCTGGCTAATAACTCCATTAGGATTGATCCTGGTGAAAGAATACCGCCCCCTCCCCCCGCAATTGACGCAGTGCTCACAGGGTTCCTATTCAGGCACTGATTAGATCCAGATCTGCTTAGCCTCAGCAAGGTGGGGGATTTATGTGCCTTCAGACCATGCTCTTGGGACACCACAATGAGGTGCCATTCTGTTGATTTCAATAGGCACTGAGTGCAACTGGCTTTGTCGGCATCCAACCCAATATACTTAACTTTGACCAGTTATTCTGAAAAGGTTCCCTATAGGAATCATAGTTAATATTGGGGAGATCATGCTGTGTGAATGAATGACGCTCCCCTCAGTTGCTTTATTTTGTGTAAAGGCTGAAAGTGGTGCAGCAATGCAAAACATATGCAAGATATTTATGCAGTATATCACCCTTTTAAAAAGTGGCTTCCCACTCCCCACTCCCTCTCCTAGTGGAAAGTCTACCCGAGCTATTCAGAATGGCAGTTAGCATTAATGCATATTTCAGAGAGTGATAGTAATAGAATCTCTCACAGCTGAATGGTACTACTGATTGATATTCAGTGTTGCATGATAAATGTGCATGGAGGCTTATGTGTTGATGTGAAACCCTGGCAAATCATGTGGGAAGTGGAGACACTGAATGTCAAGATACAAGGCAACATAGCAGCCAGCAACAGCTGTTGAGAAGAAAATACTCTTTGGCCTGTATCTGGACTGTGATAATGCAGGCTACGTAGAAAGAAAATAGTTTTGCTGATGGGTTAGCCTTTAAAAATAAGCAGGCACACTTTTAATTTTGGGTTGTGATTTGTTTAGGAATCAAGGGCAGACTTTTGTAAAAGGTCGAAATTGAGATATTTTTCAGGCAACCTTTAATTTGCTATGTTTTCAAGTTTCGGGGTGCACAAACCAGCTGGGGATGGTGGTGTGATAGATCATGGTTTGCCAATCCCAAATAAATCATGGTTAGAGAACTAGGTTGGATTTGGTAAACATATGAGGGTGCCAACTGTACATCACACACACACAGAGAGAGAGAGAACACGCAGAGAAAATGCATTACTTAGGAAAGGTGGACCAAAAAGGGCTCCAATCTACATAAAAATGCATCTGCATGTGAATGAGGGCATATCGGTACTTTTTGTGGTCCCCTCTGTTTTCATGCTCATAAATGTGGCTGCCATTTTATGCTATGTCACCCTCAAAGCAGCCATTTTGTGACTGGTACTCAAACTTCCAAATGTGCCTACTGTCTCCTAAAGATTGGCGACCCCTGGTCTATACAATCTGACAATTTAGGAAGCATTTGGTGCTGAGTAAAAACTTCATTTGCTTATGAGTCAAGGGCTTTTTTAAAAGGAAAAGACTTACTTTATTCAGGCTTTTAAAGTTTTAAAAAATGAATTACCGGTATATTTCCTAAATAACTAGGGGGTTCAAGGATATAGAACTGCAGATATAGACACTGGAATATGAAAAATATATACAATTTCTCTCATTAGACTTCAAGGCCTGAGCTTTTCCTAAAATAAGGAAACATCCTTCTGAACCTTTCACATAGCTCTGATTTTGATGTGTGCTAATGTACATAGTTTCTTCTAGGGGTGGTGAAACTGTGGCCCGGCATATGTTGTTGGACCAGAACTCCCCTCAGCCATGAAGGCTACAGCTGACAGGAGCAGGAGTCCAACAACCCCTGGAAAGCCACTGGTTCCCTATCCCTGAGTTTGCATCATGGATGCAACAACTTTACTAATACAAGGTAATATCTGTCCGTCTGCCTTTCTACCCAGTTACACAAATATCAAAAATACTCTGTGCTCTAATCCATGGAATGGAGACAGCAAACATTCCAAAGTTAAGCCCCATCTGATGAAGAGAGTCACTGGTCACAGTCCAGATGAAGCTGAGCACTTTGAAGTCCAGCTGATTTCAAAGAGAGAAGTCTAAGCATCTGCTTAACTCGCTCTCTTAGAAGTGTGCAACACAGCAAGCCTATCCTGATTAGCTTGCTTCTCAGTCTTCCTTTGTTAGAACTGCATGGAGCCATACAATCAGAAAAATATCTATGCCAGCATAGCAAAAGCCTTTACCAGTGGGAAGTTGTGGCTGGGGAAATCCCACCAGTGCGAGGAGCAAAAACTCAATGAACCAAAGATGTGGCAAGGAAAAAGCAGAATTCACAAGACCCCCTTTCTCCCAGCCCAGATGATAGCATTGTCATGGCTGCAAAGAGATGTCCAAACTTAAAACATGGGATGGGGACGAGGTTCATAGCTCAGTGGTAGAGCATGTGCTCTGCATGTTCCTCAGCATCTCCAGGGAGGATGAGGAAAGGCCCCTGTTTGAAACCCTGGAAAGTCACTGCCAGCCAATGTAGACAAAGTTGGGCTAGATAGATCAATGAGTATAAAGCTCAGTATAAAGCAGCTTCTGACATCCACATTTTCCTAAACAAATGTGTAGTGCTATCTGACTTTTTTCCTTTCTCCTGCTTTGGTCTCTCCAGCTGGAATGGAGTTATGAAGTCAATAACAGGGTGGCCATATAATAGTAAAGATGCGGTAGGAAACATTCTTTTGGCAACAAGCTAAGGGGAAGTGACACACTGTATGAATCAGTCATGAGTCATTAAGAGAGTTCTACTCTGAGTTCTCCAGGTTTGTTTGTAGTCATTTGCGTTTTTAAGGCTTTAAGCCAAACAACTGTTGGGGGCCCAGGAGCATATTTGGAAATTTAAGAAACTTTTTTTTGGGGGGGGGTAATAAAATAATACAGATTTTACAGGAAAATAGTGGTTACCTCAGACCACCACTGCCACAAACAACAGTGAAAACGCAGAAACTCCAAGCCGATTGAAACACAGACCAAAAGAAAAAAGAAAAGAAGAAGCAGGTAGCACAAAACCAAAAATACCTGGTAAAAAATGGGAGCGGTCAGAGCCTTAGTGTGTGCCAAGGGTTTTGTTTAGAGCATCATGTGGTGCATGTTGCAAACCTTAGCTCTGAATCATCAACAGAGACAGTGTTTTGCTATTTCATCTTCAAACCAATTTTTGCCTCCCCACATCAATTACTGCTTTCATATAGCAGTTAAAAGTAGTGTGAAATCTGAGTGTACTTAGCAGGTGAAGCCCACAGGTTCTCTGAGACCTTTGTTTTAATATAACACAATTACGGTCACAGGTTTTTTTTCCCCCTGGGATGAAACCTCCTCCTTTGTTTTTTCAAGAAACGGCTGGATCTTGTCACAATGGTTTAGGTACGAGATATCGTGTCAGACATTACCTAGTTAGTAGAGTCTGCTTACTCATGAGAAGCAATTGCTTGAGGGGTCTGTGACTAATTTCTGACATTATATGGTGTGCTGAAGCACCAAACCGAAAGGCTGGATATGGAGGGGAATAATAGGAAGAAACAAAATGACAAAAAGTCATGTGGGACATTCCTCACAGCAACCCTCAGAGGCACAGTGGTACCTCGGGTCAAGTACTTAATTCGTTCCGGAGGTCCGTTCTTAACCTGAAACTGTACTTAACCTGAAGCACCACTTCAGCTAATGGGGCCTCCCGCTGCCGCAGCGCCGCCACACAATTTCTGTTCTCATCCTGAAGCAAAGTTCTTAACCCGAGGTACTATTTCTGGGTTAGCGGAGTCTGTAACCTGAAGGGTATGTAACCCGAGGTACCACTGTACTCTGGACTGATACATAGTGATTGTCCAAGATCAGCCAGTGAGCTTTTTGGCTCAATGGTGATTCAAATCTGATTTTTGTACAGAGAAATTATTCACTTGGCCACCACACTCGCCTAGCTCCCTATAGCAGAATGATCTAATGTGCAGTGGTACCTTGGGTTACAGACGCTTCGGGTTACAAACTCCGCTAACCAGGAAGTGGTTGCTCCAGGTTAAGAACTTTGCCCCTGGATAAGAACGGAAATCGTGTGCCAGTGGCACAGCGGCAGCAGAAGCCCCCATTAGCGAAAGCACGCCTCAGGTTAAGAACCATTTCAGGTTAAGAATGGACCTCTGGAATGAATTAAGTTCTTAACCAGAGGTACCACTGCATTTTAATTTAACCAATACCAAGTTCCCCTTTTGATGTTTCCATCAACTTGTGAAATACTATCTCATACAAGTTCCTTCCTGGTATTTCACAACATATTTCAGTGCTTCTGCTTATTTTGCTATGGAGCAAGAAGAAAAGCAATACTATTATTTTTTTTAAAAAGGACTGGGGATTTGGAATTATATAGGGAAAAGAAACTTCTTCAAGAACAGGCACTTCTTCTTTCTCACAGATGTCAGCAGCAGATGGAAGACATCATGCTTTTATTTAGCCGTCTGCATCATTGTGCACCATTGGAAGCAGTCAGGGCCAGCGCAAGACATTTTTCTGCCTGAGGTGACGGACAAGATGGTGCCTTCCCTCATTCCATGTATAAAGCCAGCAAGACTGGTAGTTGACACTTACTCTATCACCAGTGTCAAAATAAAACTCAAACTCAAAATAAATCTAGTCAGCTTCTGATCTTAAATGGGGATACCATCTTGCCCTTGCCTCAGGCAGCAAAATTGCTTGGACTGGTCCTGCCTAATAGTGGCATCAATCCTGTCAACAGTTGTTTAGTGGGAAGCTTTTTGTTGCTTGTAAAAAGTTGAAGGATTTCCTTTTGTACATTGTCATGTAGGTTAAGAAACGCAGTCCTAAGCAGTTTGACTTGGAAGTAAGTTCCACTAAAAAGCACGAGGCGGGAGGCAAAAACTAGATATGGTCCCAACACAAGTGACAACCTACCATCCAGTTCCCTCTCTTCCTGTAAAAGTTAGCTCCTGGGATGCACAATGTTGGCCTTTGCTTGCCTCATCCCGCTAGACATTATGGGCTGTTCTAGGAAGATAAGGAGAAACATCACAACATGATTTTCAGGAACTAAATGTTGTGGGAAGGAGAGGGGAACCTGGATGAAAGACTGCAGTTTTTGGCAAACTCACATTTGGCATCACCTCCACTTCTGTTCTTCCTTCCAAATAAAAATGTTTAGGCCTGCAGAACTCTTCTTATTCTGGAAACATTTTTGCTTTTCAGCCAGCAGCTTTACCCTGGCCTTCACTTTTTTTCTTGGCACGCTCTTGCCTTCAGTTATCATTGGTTGTTACGGATGGTGATCATGTGCTGTGATTTCAGGAAAAAAGTTAACTTTGTTTGCAAATGAGAGATAACAGAAAAGCCAATATTTTCTGTGCAGACGGAAATTGTGATTCACTAGAAATGAAACAGCAGTTCTGTTACGATGAGAGCCATGTTGAAATGCATGCTCTGTTATTTACAGATATTCTGGTTCTAAACCAGTAAATGCTATGGACTCAGTTTTATTAAGTTTAGGTGGGAATTACTGTAGACCTATCCATGTGTAACTTGTATGTAGAGCACATCCATTTTGGCAGCTAAGTGGGGCTCCATATCCATTGCACAAACCTCTGTTCACATGTAGGAGCTCTGCGCTATTGGGACACATGCACTGTTTTATGTGCTGTTAATTATCATTAAGGATCAGACAGAAATACTACAAAACAAGCAACTTCCTTTAAGCAACCTTTTTTTAGCTTCTAACTCTGACTCTCCTGTGATCTCTTTATACCCGGGGTGCCAACATGAATAAAATATTGGGGGGAGGTAAGGCCCGCCATGCAAGATTGATCACATGACACAGTGTGTGTGCACACGCACAAACACACACACCATCTAGGAGTTGGCTCCTATGCTCTAAACTTTTGGTGTTGAATTACTTCCTGGTAGCTGTTCCCTTAACCTGTGCTATCTCTCCATCTCACTAAGTTTTTATCCCTGACTGTTGTCCTAATCCTCTCTTATAAATTTGGGTGGGGGTCGTACACCCTCAAACCCTAGAAATTAATAAACCCTAGAAATAAATCTCCCTTTCCTGAGCAAGGTTCTGGAGCGAGCGGTCGCAGACCAGATCCAGACTCTTTTGGAAAAAAATGATTTTCTGGATCCATTTCAGTCAGGATTTAGGCCCAGTTTTGGCACAGAAACTGCTTTGGTCACCCTGTATGATTACCTCTGTCGAGAGAAAGACAAGGGAAACATGTCCCTGTTAATTTTCCTCAACCTCTTAGTGGCTTTTGATACCATCAACCATGGTATCCTTCTGCGGCGAATGTCCAAACTAGGGGAGGGTGGGACCACTTTGGGGGTATTTCCAGTCCTACTTGGATGGTCGTTTCCAGATGGTGTTGCTTGGGGAATGATTTTCAGCCCCATGGAACCTTCAATGTGGGGTTCTGCAGGGCTCAATCCTATCCCCTCCGTTGTTTAACATCTACATGAAACCGCTGGGTGGCGTTATCCAGAGGTTTGGAGTACATTGTCAGCGGTATGCTGATGACACTCAGCTCTGTTTCTCCTTTACATTTGCAGATGAGGCAGTGGAAGTGCTGGACCAGTGTCTTGCCTTGGTAATGGACTGCATGAGAGCCAACAAACTGAAATGCAATCCAGATTAAGACTGAGGCTCTGTTAGTGGGTGGTTCCCTGGACCGGATGGGTGGGAGATCACCTGCTCTTTATGGGGTTACACTTCTTCTGAAGGAACAGGTTCATAGCTTTGGGGTACTCCTGGATCCTTTGCTGTCGCTCGAGGCTTAGGTGGCCTCAGTGGCCCAGAGTGCCTTCCATCGGCTTCAGCTGGTGGCCCAGCTATGCCCCTATCTGGACAGGGATAGCCTAACTACTGTTATCTATGCTCTGGTAAACTCAAGGTTCAAGTACTGCAATGCATTATACGTAGGGCTACCTCTGAAGATGGTTCGGAAACTTTAGCAAGTGCAGAATTCAGCAGCCAGTCCTAGTCTGACTGCACTGGCTACCAATTAGCTTCTGGACCCAATTCAAAGTGCTGGTTTTAACCTATAAAGGCTTAAATGACTCGGGACCACAATACCCCAAGGACCGCCTCTTTTCATATGAACCTACCTGGACCCTGAGATCATCTTCTGAAGCCCTTCTTCGTTTGCCTCCTCCTTGAGAAGTCCGGAGGGTGGCAACACAAGAACAGGCCTTCTCTGCAGTGGCTCCCTGTCTGTAGACTGCTCTCCCCAGGGAAGTTCGCCTGGCCCCTTCATTATACACTTTTAGGCACTAGGCAGAAATGTTCCTCTTTAACCAGGCCTTTGGTTGACATCCTATGCCCTTTTAAAATGTGGTGTGTGTTTTTTTTTTGGGGGGGGGGGGGTTATTGGGTTGTTGTTTATATTTTGATTATGTATTTTGTGGTTGGTTTTTTTTGTGAACTGCTCTGAGACCTCCGGGTATAGGGCAGTATATAAATTCAATAAATAATTATTTATTATTGTTGTTATTTGGGGTGTGAAGCAGGAAATACAAGCTGCAGGGGAATTCCTCTGCACTTTGCACGCCCAAATGAATCAAAGGAGAGATCTTGCTGCCGTTATTTTTGCATGAATGCCAAGTGGCTGTTAGGATGGCATGATATCTGATGCTGAAGCAGAATTGTATTCCAAAGCAACATTCTAGAATGACACCAGTCTTAGATGTAATGACATCTAAAAATAGGGTGTTTGGGAGGAGCTATTATTTATAGAACGTGTGCTCCTGTAGTCACCAGCTTAATGTTATTATTAAACACGTATCATCCAAACTGGAAGATAGGATAATGCAGAAGAAGAAGATTTTTTACAATTATTTGATCAAACAAGTATTTGAGCTTGACCTGGGGGTGGGGGCAGGAAGGAATGTTGACAGTTATTCCCTGTTTGTCTAGGAGGACAAATCAGGACCTGACAGTTCCATTTTCTTCTTTTTTTACTTCCGCAGCTGTATTTAGAATGTGGTGGGCTCATACGATCCTTCTTCAAGGTGCAGAAGGTCAGGAATCTGGCAAGGCACTCTGCACATGGTCGACAAGTGCATTTCCTAGACACACCTGTTAAGTGGTTCAGAGGCGAAAGGGTTAACAGAATGGCAGCATTTCTGTGGTTAAAAATAGATCCAGAAGCTTCCTGTATGTCACCAGTGCTATTACAACTCATATTTTTACAGTTTTTTTATATATATTTTATTTCCATTTATAAAATAATCTACAATGAACAATGTCAAGTAATAACAAAAAAAAATCGGCAAAACGTTCAAAAGTAGCTCATTGCAATTTATTACTTTTTCCAGGCACACACCACACTTTAAAGCTCCATATCCGAGGACCATTTCTTTCACCCTGGAGCTTTCCTTGAAAAACCCGCTCTTTAGTGCTCCATTGGAGCAAACGTCAATCTGCGAAAACCCAAATAGATATTTGCTCTGATTTTCGAGGGGGTTTTCAAGGGGGAAACTCTGGGGCAAAACAAACAAACAAGCATGCTCTCACTTTAAAGTGGCTTTTGAGTGACTGGGGAAACCCAGTCAGATGGGTGGGGTATAAATAATAAAATTATTTATTATTTTTATTAAAGTGCACTGCCTACCTGTGCCTAGACAGAGCAGGGGGGAAGATAAGTGTGGATAAGCCTGCAGTGCCTTGCTGTTCTTTTTTAGGTCAATTTGCACTTGAGTCCAAGGATATCCAAAGCAGTGGGAGATCTTTCAAGTGACTAGCTCTAGCCAAGTATGACACCTGACATCCTTTTGTTGTTAACCAGGTGATCCAATCAAGTTTCATATCATTCATAATTCCATTCTATATCATTTAATAATACTATTAAGCTTTGTGTGTTATTAAACAGCCATTTGTTTCAATTACAGCCAGGATTCTTTGGGGCAGGGCTTTGGGGCAGACATCCAAGGCTCTGTGCAGCAGAACAATCAGGAGTCCAAAATGAAGCAGGGTTGTGTTCTTGTGTGTCAAAGTAAGTGTCATCTTAAAAACAAGGTTAATTTGCTCAGAATATCTTGCTCATGTTTTCTGTTTTATCAATAATATAGAGACTGTTTCCCTTTTTCTGCTAAATCAAATGAAGTTAATATGTAATTGGTTTATTAAAAAAGATAAAGAGAGCCCTCAACCTCTTAACCAAAGTAGATTAATACGATTCCATTTCCTGAAGATAAACTCACACAAAGTCTGATGTATTCCTGGAACTGCACATTGTATTGTGAGCCTTCTTGATCTCGCTATCTTTTGTTTCACATACTGATAGAATCATGCATAAGATAATCCTGTTTTCTCCAGCGCACACTGCATAAGACAATGCATACCGAGAAACGTTTGTCTGTAGAAATAGTATGTACTGGATAAAAGTACGTGCTCGTTGGCCATGTCTACGTGTCGTTACCCCTATGTGGTGTACAAATTCTGCTAAATAAAGTTAACAAATATATTGGCCGTTCTAAACAGAAATCTTCATGATGGGAATGATTGAAACAAGAGGCCAAGTTGGCATGGGGAATCCTCCTTGCACATTTTTGCATAATGGTGATGATGTAGTAAAATCATCCCATTTGCATGATATGTTGGTATTCAGATGTAATGAAATCAACTATGTCTGTGATTAAGAACGTGCTCACGTTCACTAGGCAGTAACTGTATGTTATGTACTGAGTAGAATAGGATCCAAAAGGCAGCAGTCTGATTGGTCCAGAACAATAGGATTCAGAATGCAGCAGTCTGATTGGTCCTAGAACAATAGGGTCCAGAATGCAGCAGTCTGATTGGTCCTAGAACAATGCAGCAGTATGATTGGTCCACAGGAGCCACCCAATCCAGCTCCAGGTGGAAGTGAATCCGCAACCTAATAGGCCTACAGGAGAATCCCAGAATTAGTCAATCACGCACGGCCCATTGTGTAAATAATGTATATAAAGCAGATATTTTGGGAAAACATTCATTCCTCACTACTATGAGCTGAATAAAGAGCATGAAATCCATACTTGACTCCGAGTATATTTCACTGTACAATGACACATTCTGCAGAAAGCTTAGATCCTTCCAAGTATTGACATGGCCGCACTCTCTACATGATGGAGTCTGAGCAATCGCACTTCAGGCACACAGCTGAAAATTGCCTTCGTCTGATGATTTACCCTTCCCAAGGCTTCATCCTTAGTGTATCTGTTTGTATTCTTCCTCAGCAT